ACGGTAGGACATTTTAAAGAAGCAGGTTGTGAGTTGTCTTAGAGTTTTACTGACTGCTTTTATACTATTACTTCACCCTTTATTGTAAAGTGATCAAGTTTCAGTCAGAGACCACTGGGTTCAAGTTTGGCTTTCAAAACAAGGAAAAAAAAATGGATCCCTGAAGTGTTGCGAAATGTTGACAGAAGCTCGGTTGAATCACTCTGTGATGGTTTTTTCATGCACTTCTAAGAAACATTGTCAGCAAAGCAGATTTGAAGACGACTCTTTAAGAGTTCTGATTTTTTGTATCTGATTCCTGCAAGCAGTGCCTTTTTTATTGTAGTGCAGCAAACTTGTCAACTCTCTAAATTTTATGAAGCTTATTATTGTGTTAAATTGATGTACTCACATAAATAAACATCGGCTGACTAGGTAAACTTTTCAGTAACTGCTGCCTTGAAGTGACTTTATTTAAAAAGAATTTAAGCGATCTTTGCCATCTTACCATTTAAGCACAGCTAACTTTTTTTTTGAACAACAGTATAGCGTTAAATTGAAGGAATAATTCTTGTCAAAATAACAACCGGTCCACACTGCAGCTATAAATAAGCAAATCCGACCTTTGCTCGAATCCTTTGCTTAAATGTTAATTGAAATTTTTATTTTTTGTTAAAAGTGAACTATTGAAGACGACTCTTTAAGAGTTCTGATTTTTGTATCTAATTCCTGCAATTCATTTCCTAAGCTCACTCACCGAAAAAATAGTGCGTCAAAGTTTTACTCTATCATATGACTACCGAATGTAATAATAAAAGCAATTGAACTTTTTCATTTTGAAGTGCAAGACTGTGCCAAAGCTTTGAAATCGTTACGGTTTTTTTAAAACGTTTAAATAGTTGTTGAAATTTACAAATGTAAAAGGAAACTGAAGTTTTGACGAATAAAAATTACTTAGGTCACTTTCAGCTTTTTTTTTTTTTTTTCTAATACGTAGTTGATGGTTGTGGTAAGAAATTAAAATGTTGGTCTCCTCAGAGAACGTGAAAAATAGTTGGCAAGAAGCTAAAGCTTGATGTATGTCATAGTTTTCTTTTTTCGGTTATTGTTTTTCGATGCTTTGGACAGGGAAAAAGTACCTAGCAGTGAAATTGGAACCGGACGACTTTTTTTTCGAAAAACTTATTTTTTCTCAGTGGCACTTATGATAATGTTGGAAAAAAATCAACTCACGGAACGCCACCTGACCGGTATAAATAGCAGTTTGCACTGAACCCATCCTTTGCTCAGTTTTGCGTTCTGAGGTTTACCGCACACCTGTTTTACATTTTTGAATTTCCTGCTGTAGGTCTCATTAACAGCTTACTTCACAACTGTGCTGTGCGCTGAATTAAGGCATTTTTCCTTAGCATTATGTTTAGAGGCTGTGTTCTGCATTAGATCTACGGCCAGAACATATTCTTCCCAATTCTCGTGGTATACGGATCTCTAAGCAATTTCTACCAAACCTTGTATTTTCTTTCGGGAACTGAGTGAATCATTCAGACATTTCCTTCCTTGCTTTTTACCGTTTAAGAAGCTAGCATCTGCAACGCCTTCTTCCTCGATGCTGCACTCTTTTGCTGGTTGAATCACTCGTGCATCTTCTCACGAGCTTTATATTCTGTAGTTAATTACTCCCCAAAGTAGCTCCTCATCTCTTTGCTGAAGTAAACCTCACTGTTATAGTAGTGGTGTATTTAACAGTCGCTCATATATTATTTCTCAGCTATTTTGCTTTAAGTCGACTTCTGAAGCATTTTTTCGTTTAATTTTACAAATTGCCGTCATTGAATGAGCCAAGCAATTTTTTCTTGAATTTTTACTGTATAACGAGCCATAGTTTTTTATCGGTTACATTCAAAACTGCAGTTCGTAACGGATTCAGCCCTAATCTGCCTTCTTACTTCCGAATAAGTGGTCAGTTTCATAAACCCATCCTTATTTGTTCAAATCTTTTGTTCTATACTTATACTTTATACGTTCTTTGTTTAGTTTTTTTTGCTACATAGACTTCTTTAACACCATGTCAACTGATTAATTCTCACTCTTCTACTTCTCGCAAAGTGGCCTCTGTAGCACTCTTATCCGTTTTGCATTTCGTAGCAGATTGATCTCTAATCCACTCTTCCCGTTGTTTTGCACTTTGTAAAGGAGCTTCCCTCAGAAACCATTTTTCCGGTTTTCTATTTTAAAAGAGATGAAGCTTCTTATAAGTTTCTGTTTATCACCATAATTACAACATGGAATGGCTGGAATACAAATGCTTACTGCACAGCTGCCATTCCCTCAACTTACTTTCTCAGTCCTAATGTTTTCTCGAAGCATAGTCGTCGTACTTTGCAAAACTCTGTCTTTTTTACCGAAAACTTATTTCCTCAGGCTGACAGTGCATGGAGAAACCTGCTAAGCAATGTCTGCGAAGAAATTTATCTTTTAACATGGCTTTTGGTTTTGTTTACCTTCACCTTCAAAGACACTCTTCAGGGTTCAGTGCTGTGAATGCTGACTTGGCTACAAATAGCTGCTGATACGCGAGAACTCAAGTATTTTGCGTTAACCTTTCCCACCTCAATAAGTCGTGGATTTGTCTATTAAAATTCTGCCGCACAAGTTCAATTCTCTTAATCATCCGTTCTTTTCCTTGTACCCTAAAAATATTTGGCCCCACTTACTGCCCCAAACAGTGCAACTGACCTGAAGAAGAATAATTTTCCGTAATTCAAAACAGTGAGATACTATACGATTTAAATTTATGTTGTTTAGCACTTCGCACGAGGGATTCCATATCTTTTATTCTAGATATATCCTTTTTTCCAACAAGTTTTTTGGCTTTTCCTGATAAAAAGTTGGCTCCTTCGCTTAATATATGTATAGTCCGTTTCATTTCCAATTTGGTGTGAAAATTTTTGCGTGCTGAGAAGCCCTCTCCTGGAGGAATTTCAACGTTTTTGGCTCAATGCCACTGTGTATTAAAAAGGCAGCCGAGTGTTATCTAACTTACTCCCATAAAAGTGTCATAAACTTTTGTTTGAGTTGTATGCATGATATGTTATTGATGTCTTTCCGTTTGTAGATGTTCAGCCTTTCTGTATTCCAAATTTCTCGCTGTTTGGTCCACTTTCTGCCGAGATATTGCCGGATATGTCCGAGGATTTTTAATTTTAAATGTTATTTTGCAACTTATTAACTGTTGTAACTTTGTTTTTATCCACAGAAATTTCTTATTTTTTTGTTCTTGTAAGGGGCAGATATTGTAGATAACAAATATCTGGAAAAAAGGGGAGTTGCCGAGCAATAATGTAGAAAAAACTTTTATAATGAAATGAATAAAAAAATGCGATTTTTTAATATATGAAAAAAGCTTACAAAAAGTTGCTGTAGGGGTAATTTT